TCAATAGCTACTTTGAGAACTTTTACTCTCACAGAACAGAAGACACAGAAGAAATGGACAGATTGCTAGAAAGAAACAAATTACCAAAACTGAATCAAGAAGATACAACAACTCTCAATAACCCAATAACAACCAATGAAATATAAAATTAATAAAAAAGCTACCTACCAATAAAGAAAAGTCCAGGTCCTGATGGATTCACAGTGTAATTCTACAAGAAACTTACAGACAATATAATCCCTATATGCCTCAAAATCTTCAATGAAATAAAAAAGGAAGCAATCCTCCCAAAATCATTCCTGGAGGCAAGTATTATACTGATACCAGAACCAGGGAAAGACCCAACTAAAAAAGAGACCTACAGGCCTCTCTCCCTCATAAACATAGATGCAAAAATCCTCAATAAAATCCTAGGAAATAGAATATAGCAAATCATCAAGAAGGTCATACACCATGACCAGGAAGGATTCATACCAGGGATGCAACGATGGTTTAATATTCAAAAATCTATAAATGTAATACACTACATCAATAGCGCAAAATGTAAAACCACATGATCATCTCAATTGATGCAGAAAATGCCAAAGTCCAACACTTATTCATGTTCAAAGTCTTACAGAAAATTGGAATAGATGACTGCTACTTCAATCTGGTAAAAGTTGTGAATGACAACCCAACGGATAATATAATTCTAAATGAGAAAAAACTGAAATCTTTTACTCTCAGATCTGGTACAAGACAAGGATGTTCTCTGTCACCACTCCTATTCAATATAGTTCTGGAATCATTAGCTACAGCCATTAGACAAGAGAAAGAAATAAAAGGAATAAGAACAGCTAAAGAAGAAGTTAAATTATCATTATCTGCAGATGGCATGATACTTTCTCAAAAAACTCCACCAAGAAGGTACTAGAATTGATACATAAATTCAGTAGCATAGCAGAATACAAAGTCAATACCTAAAAGTCAATAACATTCCTCTACACAGATAACAAACACACTGAGAGGGAAATTAGAGAAACAATACCTTGTACAATAGCACCACAGAAAAGGAAATACCTTGGAATTAATCTAACTAAAGAAGTCAAAGATCTTTTCAAAGAAAATTACAGTACTCTGAAAAAAAGAGATCGTAGAGGATTTCAGAAAATAGATATTCCCTGCTTCTGGATAGGAAGAACCAACACTGTGAAGATGGCCATACTCCCAAAATTGCTGTACAGATTTAATGCAATCCCTATCAAACTACCACCAACATACCTCACAGAGGTTGAGAAATCATTCCTAAAATTTATCTGGAACCAGAAAAGACCTAGAGTAGCAAAAGCAATCCTGGGCAACAAAGACAAGGCAGGAGGCATTACAATTCCTGACTTGAAATTATACCACAAAGCCGTGATAAAATCAGCATGGTACTGGCAACAAAACAGACCTGAAGATAAATGGAACAGATTAGAAGATGCAGAAACCTCTACAAACACACTCAGCTACCTGATCTTTGAAAAGGGGCCAAACATACTCACTGGAAGAAAGATAGCCTCTTTAACAAATGGTGCTGGAAAAACTGGCTCTCCACATGCTGAAAACTAAAACTTGACCCAGGTCTATCACCATACACTAAGCTAAACTCAAAATGGATTAAAGATGCAAACATTAAAACAGAAATATTCAATCTCCCAGAAGAGAAAGTAGGAGGAACTCTTGAAGACATAGGGGTAGGCAAAGGGTTCATGAACACAAATCAAATCGCATGGTTAACACTTGAAAGAATTAACAACTGGAACCTCCTCTTATTGAGAAGTTTTCTCATGTCAAAAGAAATTACCAACCAAGTGAAGAGATAACCCACAAATATGGAAAAAATCTTAATAAGCACTCAGACAAAGGTCTGCTTTCTAGAATTTATAAAGAACTAAAAAACATTAGCGCTCCAAAATTTAAAGACCCAACAAGAAATGGGCACCTGAGATGAATACACACTTCTCAGAGGTTGAAATTAAAGAAGCAAATAAATATATGAAAAAATGCTCCACATCATTAGCTATCCATGAAATGCAAATTAAAACAACACTGAGATACCATCTCACCCCAGAAAGAATGGCTATCTTAAACAAATCAACTAAGAACAAATGTTGGAGAGGCTGTGGGGAAAAAGGAACCCTTCTCCATTGCTGGTGGGAATGTAGACTGGTGCAACCATTACGGAAATCAGTGTGGAGACTCCTTAAAAAACTAGGACTGGAAATCCCACTCAAACCCCCTACTGGGAATTTTCCCAGAGGAACTGAAAACGTCATATCATAGTGCTATTTGTATACTTATGTGTATAGCAGCACAATTTGTGTTAGCCGAATCTTGGAAACAGTCAAGATGGCCATCACTTGAGAAATGGATGAAAAAGATGTATTTTTATACAATGGAGTATTACTCAGCTATAAAGAACGATAAACTTGAAGCCTTCCTATTTAAGTGGATGCCACTTAAAGATATACTCATAAGCAAAATAAACCAGACCTACATGTGTAAATACCCTATAGTCTCCCTAGTATAAGATCTCAAAAGAAGAAATACAAATAGAAAGGTGTAACACAATTGACAGCAAGAACTTGAGGATTAGACAATGAAAAGAGGGTAAGAAGAAAAATTAGGGAACATGACAGGGGCAAAGCCATACAAATTATACGCACAAGCTAGGTAAGGCAATTATCCTGAGAACTATCAGCAGATTGTCGAAACTAGCAGTTACTTTGTGGGATTCTTACCTTGACTATGTATGCTGATACCTGTGAACTGAGCGACTGAAATGAAGATAGCAATGTGTAGTAGTGGCATCAGGCTTGAAACGCCTGTCAGTTTGGTCTTCTAAATATGTACTGCTTGTCATGACATACCAATTATGGCCAGATTGTATCTCAAGTAAATGTTTTTTTTTTTTTAAAGGGTAATAAATGAAAAAAAGAGAAAAGGAAAAAAAATGTCACAGGACTGTGCTGCTACTATGATGTATATGATTAGATTTCTAAATTTTTGTGTAAAAACATGTAACTTTATTCATATTTTTAAAATATTTTATTTTTTAATTCTTTTTTCATTTTTCTTAGACTTAAAAGTTTAACATATCAATATCTGAATAAAAATACATGTTCCATCTTATGCCTAAGATGTTTGATACTCAGACAGACAGTAAGGTTAAACCCAACTGCATATGTTGTAGGGTAATAATAAGCTTCTCTTCTGGAGGGTTAACAACCTAAGTTTGCAGACCAAAAATTAGAGAAAAAGAAGGGCTGCAAGGACAGTCAACATTTTGGCACTAGCCCTTCAAGGTCAGTGAGGACTCAGGATATAGGAGAACCTATACTGTAATGTCATGTACCTCAGTTGTGTCCCAGATGTTCTGATCAAGGAGATTATGGGGCCACAGAGGAATGTGATTGATGAAGTAGTGTATGCCTAAAGAGAATCACATGGAGAGAAAACATTCTCTCAGGCTCTCACAGAGAGAAAATTGGTCAAGCAGTGGCTGTGACTCATCCATGTGGCTGACACTGACAAAGGATCTACAAACTGCAGTACAGGGTTACAGGATAAATCCTGAGGGTACTTAACTGACCTTATCAGATACAAAAGTTCCATTCCTTGTTATAAAGATCTTGCTTTATCTTGGTCTTATCCATCCAGCAGAAAAGTATAGAAATGAGGTATGAAAAGTAAAGCCATGTTAATATGCAGAGCTGTGGAAGGCTCAAGTCAACGGATTCAGACACTGCGAGTCCTGTGGATAACCCACTATTGTTGTGGACTACCAGACTATATTGGAATATTTTGCTGAGTTCATGCACCTACAATATTTGGATGGCAATGAAATACCCATCTCTGACAAAACTAAACATAGAAAGGAGATATAAATGAAGGACAATTCTGTATCTATCTATACAAAATGGTTAGACTAGATATCTAGCCACTTTCTCTTAATTCAGTAAGAAAGATTTGTACTAACAGTGTTTGGACAAGATACCATGTCGGCATCTTGAGCTATGAATGACTACTACAAAGACAACAATATGCAATGTATTAATTGATGTAACCCTCCTACCAATCTGTTTTGAAACTGTCTCATTGCAATTTTTTTCAATAAAATTAATTAAAAAAATAAGTAAATAAAAAGAAAATACCACATGAAAACCTTTTTTTCCAATTTCACTTTTATAAAAAATGAAGCTGTCTTCCTCTTACGTAATAAGAAAGGTTGCTAGAACTGTCCATTTCCTAGTCTACAAAAAAGGCAAACTGAATCAGGTGACTACAGCAGACTCACTCCTCATGTCCGTTTCACAATCATTAAGGTTCTTCTAACACCCCATGGTTCTGAGCAAAGAAAGCTATCTTTTCGGTGACATTTTGATTTTTATTTCATAGAGTTCACACATCTATTTCTCATCTTGTTTTAAGATAGCACCATTTAAGAGGACAGGAATTAGGAGAGGAACAGTCAGATTCCCAAGCAAGCCATTAGGGTCCTCTCACAGTCATTTATCCACCAAGTACCCACCATGGCTTGGAATCATCTTCCCTATGACTTGAGTGACAGTTTTGTACCTGCAATGCTTCATGCTTTACACTGGCTTTCTCTGGTATTTCATGGACACTTTCTGAGGAATCATCTATCTCTTCACATTCTGAGGATGAAGGACTCTCTAGTGTTACAGTGACAGGAAAACCTGATGACTTAAGGACAAGATTGTGTAAGCAGTGACAGAAACCAACCATCACATATTACAGGACAGCTACTCAAAGTGCTCTTTCTGAAATAATAAATCTTAAGCATGTCTTTTACTAGTGCTTAGCCTAAAAAACATAGCAAAACACCACTTATTCTTGCTGTTACTGTATAGAATTCTGGCATACACATGTACAGGTGTATTTCGAATGGTCCATTAATTTATTAAATTTATCTCATATAAATGAAGTGAGAAGTCAGAACATTTTCTTTCTCGAGTAAATTTCATAGTGCATAAGATAAATGTATTCTTCAGTATTAGACACAAGAGGTCTAGAAGTATGATTTTTAGGATGAAAATCCATTAGTAGGGACTGATAATTAAAAATTAAGAATAAACCAGGTACAGTGCTACATACTGGTAATCCCAGCACTCAGGAAAGCTAAAGTAGAAGGATGGCAAGTTTGAACCCAGTGAAGGCCAATTTAGTGACTTATAAGAGGTTCATCTCAAAATCTTTTAAAAAGTGATGAAGATGTAGCTTAGTATGAAGGCTCAGGATTCAATCCCCAGTACCACGGGGGTGATGGTGGTGGTAAACTAAACTAGAATGGTATTTTCTTTAAATGTGATATTAACACATGTGCTTCTTTATTACCATTTCATTATTATTATTATATTATTTTGTCTTTTTGAGACAGAGTTTCACTATGCAGTTCAGTCTGGTCTTCAGTTCACTTTGTTGCTGGCCTTCAACTAGCAGGGATCCTCTTGCCTCACCCTCTGGACTGCTGGGATTATAACTTTGGTGATACTCTCATTAAAAAAACAAATCTACAGATCAAAACAAAAAGCACTGGCTTTCTGCAACTATAAAGAACAAGTCACTGGTGTGATTTCTACCACAAGCAGGACACACTGCGGTGTATGAAAACCCTCAGCACTGACCACAGCGCTCCTCACTGGTCCTGGCAGTGTTGTCTGCATGAGAGGACCCAAGCCTCCCAGGTTGGCTGGGGAGACCTCATACTGCCAGGGTGAGCTGCTCGAAGTCTAGGGGTAGAGGACTAGAGTGTGTGTATTCTGGGAAAGAAAAGAAAGGCTCTGAAAAAACAGGAAAACAGGCTCTGGCATTTGTTGCTTTGTTCTGGCACTAGAATCTGGAATTTACATATACATAGAAATACCAAAAACAGCATTCCTGAAAACTTGGGGAGTTTCTGAGTGTGACCCAGGCAGCTAGCTCCATGTGCCAGGACAAAAATGGTCAAATTCATTTTTCTGGGCAACAGCTGATGTGTGGACTGGAAAATACTCTCTTGTGTATAGGTGTTGGAGGTACAGTAACTCCAGGCCTCCAATCCTATTGCAAGTGGGTTTCCGGGTTCTTCCTCCCCTACCTCTGATGAGCTAGGTTCCTAGTTCTTACCCCTCCCATTTCCCATAAGTCTCCTGCTATGCCCCAGAGGTTGGACTTCCTGTCATAGCCCGGTTGCCTAGTTACTTGCGCCTTTTATGCGCCGATGTCATTTCCCTATGCCTCCGCTATATATGCCCAGCACCTCCCCTGAATAAATTGAGACTTGATCAGAATCCTGTCTTGTCTCCGTTTCTCGTGTCTCCTGTCCTTTGTCCCCTCTTCAATTCCCCGCTCCTCCCCCAGGTGACCTTCGTTGACTGAGCTGCTGGTTTGGGACATATAAGTGAAAGCATTAGGCCTCCGGTACAACCATATCCACATGTCTACAGGCTAGCACTGAGAGCAACCTGCTCTACCCAGCTTAAAAAGCAAAGAATGCCAGGTAAAGAGGAGTACACCTGTAATCCCAGCATTAGGGAGGCTGAGACGGGATTGCTGTGAGTCAAGGCCAACCAGGGCCACCTACTGAGTTCAAGGCCAGCCCGAACTACATAGTAAGAACTTGTCTCAAACAAGTATAATAGACAGATAAATAAATAGCATAGAAAATGACTCTCCATCTTTTCTGTTCCAACTTTCTACATCTTGTAAGTACAATAAACACATACCTGCAGCTGATTAGGTATATCTCGAGTTTTGATTAATGGAAAACCCCTAAAGAGATATCAACAAATTAAGTCATATTTCAATGTCAATATACCACCAATTAACACTTACTAGTATTATGTACATGATCCATATAGAACTATGTAAAGAAATGCCATCAAAATGAGAGTTCAGAAGGTTCTATTATGGCAAAAAATTAAAATCAATTATTTTCTTAAGCAACTGTTAATCTTCAATTTCTTGAATAATCCCAAATCAGTCAATAAAAAAACTATAGTAGTCTGTTTAATCAACAAGCCAAAAATTACAGTTCAACAATTAAAAAAAAAAACAAAAACAGAACTCCTTTGATGAAAATTTCCTTGTACAGCTATACTGTGGGTAATGAGCTAAAAGTAGTCATTTGGTTCACTAAATATGATTCATGAAAATGAGAAGTAGGCAAGCTGACTTACGTTAATGCATATCTCTTACCCAACTTACACTAAGCTATTTCCCATGTTTATATAATGTCCCTGTCTTCATTCCTATATGAAAATTCCTACTTCCATCCTATAGGCTCAGCCCAACTATACACCTTTCACTAAAATCTTTGCTTACCTGGGCAACTGAAAATGCTTTCAAGTTTCCTGTTGTCTCCCAAAGTTACAACTTCTGTGACATTAAGGAGGTTACTTGAAGCTCCTATTATTTCTCTTTTCTTCCCCCCCTTAAAGGGTTCTTTAGGCAGAAGCCTTGAGTTTTTTTCTGCCTTATAGAAACAATCAGGAAACTTCTATATAATACAAGTTTGAAAATAAAGTAACTGGATGACTAAAATATCCTACCTGCTTCTCCTCGCACGCTCTGCAGTACGCCAGGGCAAGAAACCAGAAACCCCAGGAGGGAGAGCTTCAGGAGCATAGCTTTCTTTACCAGGTGTGTGTTTTCTTCCGCTACCCATGGGTTTCTTGGTGGCCAATCCTATGTTGGGGCAAGTGGTGGGAGCAAAAAATCAAGATACACTACAGGTACACAGATTACAATGTGTACACTCTTAAAAGAACACAAATGACAATGAAATTAGGCCATTAAAACAAGATCCATTTGTAAACAGATCAGGAAAACATTTTTACAATACAAGTTATCATTTTAACTAAAATGTAAATTTGACTGCATCACATGTACAGAACATGCAAAAATAAATAAAATTATATTTGAATGAAGGAAAGATTATACATCATGCACAGAAATACTCAGTTCACTGAATCTAAGAACATGTTACCAAATCTCCAAGGCAGATATATCCACATATATCTACGACTTCTGTTAACAGAACTGAATCAGAACAAAAATCTCAACAATAACTTTACTATGTGAAAACTATTAAAATACTGAAAGTGGCTAGATGGTAGATAAGGTCAATGTTACCAGCTAGGCCTGTTGACCTTAGGTGCTCATTTGACTTTATAGAAAAATGCAAACAAAACAAGTAAAACCTACTGGATAAAAGGAGTTTTATGACCGAGACCCTGTGTTGTGGTTTTTTTTTAAACACAAACAAGTAACTTAAATGCAATATTTTCAAACCATATTATGGCCAGGGAGATAGCTCAGTAGAACAAGCGCTTGTCTGGCAAGGGCAAGGTCCTGAGTTCAAGCCCCGGTACCACAATTAAAAAAAAACAAAAAAAAACCCCATTTTATTAGAACTTGCATTTCAGTCATTAATATTACTGAATATAGATTTAACTAAGTGGTTATACTTATCTTTCCTATTTATACAAGATCTACTCTGGCAAATTAGGACAGTATCTAAACTACAATGTGGTGACAACAAACTCACGTTCCTATGCAATCTCTCTGGATATATTTACATGTCTCTTAAGATATGTATGACCTCTGCTCATCTTGTGCTATTCAACTTTTAAGTCTTCATACAAAAAATATTTGAGTGCATATATTTTCAGAAAATATAAACACCTTTAATTGAAACAAAAATAATTAAACATATTGAGATGAAAACTAATCTAATGAAGGTTTCTATCTTTTTTCTGCACCCATTACTAGTATGAACATGACATGATTTACACAAAATATCCAAACCCTGTTCTCGATGACATCTAACCATAACAGCCAACATACTGATTTGGCTTACCTCTATGTCTCCAAATAACTGATGCAAATCCAAAATAAAAAAGTCCAAGAAATATTATTATTTGTAAAATTAAAATTATTAATTTTTTAAAAATTTTATCTTAAAAACTATTATTTTAAAAATTGTTCAGTGAGCTTGCAAACTTCATTTCCATTTTCTTTACAGATCAGCTACTAAAATTATAGAATTTCTACTGAAATGGAATACCTTTAAAGAAGTTTAACACATGATGTGAACGCTCATGATGTGAACAGTGATATGAATTTGAATGTGTATATTACAAAATCAATTAATAAAATATCACTGTTCTGAAATACAAATTGGTAGACATAGCCTATGCTTTCCTCAATTCAGTCAGTACACAGTTACTATTTAATAAGTTGATAGTTACTGGTGAGCCAAAATCACACCTTTTAATTAAAATCAAGAAAGTATATTTATGAGGAAGTGTTTGCAAAGATTTAAAAATAATTTAATTTTTTTCCAATTTTTCACTAGTTCAAAATATTGATCCATGAACCAAAGAATCCATGTGAATGCATTAAAATGTGTAACTAAAACATATAAATTCTTAACTCAGTATGAATTTAAAAAGAATTATATTTAAGGTATGTGAGATTATGATTTAAACCACAGGCAGAGAAAGAAAACAAGTATAATCTGACAGGACAGTGGAACTAAGGTGACTCCTATGTTTATTTCCAATGTTACATTAGTTTTGTTTTTTTTCCAATGTTACATTAATCACTACCTTTATAAAATTTAAACAAAAATCATCAAACAATGTATTTTTCTAAAGTTGCAATAAAATACACACAAAATAAAAATTTTCATGTTAAGCAGTTTATGTATACAGGTCAGTGCTACTAAGTCAAATTACCTTTTTAAAATGCAGATAGCATCCAAATACAAGATTGTCATTAACTGTTCAGTGATTTTGAAGCATCTGACATATAAAGTCATCATAAACTTTTTCTTGAAAAGTTGGCAGATTATAAACACGCTAAAGATTATTTTGTGTCTTCTAGTCTTTATGGTTTTACTCTTTCAAAATTCAAAGTTAGAAGAAATTGTCACTTTCATATTAGATTTGGATTAATTTATTCCACTATCACTCATTTTACTGCCCAAAGAGGTTATTTGTGATAAACATAAGTGTTCTCACGGGTAAAGACTAGGACTCTTTATAAACAATATAAAAATTAGTGTGTATTAGTGTAAAGTGTACCAAGCATTCAGAGAATTCGAAATTTATATTACTAGTGTTAAAAGACTTTCCCCCAATATTGTTGGTCACAAATTCCACAGTTTTAAACTCTAGATTAACTATTATCTTGAAGATTAAATACATGCAATAACAAATATTTAGAAACTAATTTCTAAAACGTTCCATCTAGGGTTAATAAAAAGTTGTTTGAGATAGAGCCTCGCTATGCAGTTCAGGCTGGCCTTGAGCTCACTTTGTAGCCCAAGCTGGTCTTGAACTCACAATGATCCTCATGCCTCAGCCTCCTGAGTGCTAGAATTACAGACATGCACCACCACGCCAGCTTGCAGTCTTGTTTTGTAAGGATTATGTGGATTTTAAAGATTTTTCCGTCATTGAAAGAGCAAGGTGTCATCTTATCCAATAATTTTGGTTAAAAATTTGCAAGGAAGAATGAAAAGGGGGAAAATGGAACTGGAAATAAATTTTGCTTCCTATAACTTTAGGAAAAGTGTTATGCATTTAAGAAAAATTGTCAGGCTATGGGTGTAGCTTAATGGTAGAACACTTGCCTCACAATTGTGAGGCCCTGCATCAAACCCTACCACTAGGAAGGGGGAAAAAATCAATCAAAACACAGCTAAAACTATGACTAAAAGACACTGCAAATTTCAACTGCAAAAGTATGAGAAGTAATCATCAACCAGGAAACATTCAAAATGATGAACACCTTATGAAAAAATAGTTAATTTAAAAAATGGAAATACCAAGATTCATTCTCCAATGACTCATTTACTATTTCTACATTCTTTAAATTCTCATAAGCTGTATCAGAACAATTATATCTTACAACATGCATGCAGTCCAGTCAATACCAGATGTTTGGGAGCAAGGGATATAGCTCAGTGGCTCAAGCATCTGCTTGGCAAGTGCAAGGTCCTGAGTTCAGTTCCCAGTACCAAAAAACACACACAAAAGCCAGATGTTACTGCCAAGGAGAAAAGATTTTAACATACTAGAATCCATGACAGGTATACAGTTCAGCAGCATTAAAAAGACAAGTCAGAGATTGTTACCAATTCTAATAGTAGCTTTTCCTTTTCGACTATTTCCTAGAATTATAGTTTTCTTTTTCTGTTTAGCAGTTTTAGATGATTCCTTCAAAGATGGAGAAGTTATCCACTGGTACTAGAAGAGAGATACAGGTAATACATAAGAGTTTGAACTTAACTGGCAATAGTAAGACAGTATAACAGCTTTTCAATTTGCTTTTCTGGGACCTCAATTTATTTGACTAAAAATTCAAGATAGCAAAAAAATGCCTGGAATAGGTGTATAGTACAATCTGTTGAAGTAGTTTACAAAGCAGCAAATATGGCACTGACAATTTTTATTTTCAAAAGTGCATTAATGTATAGAGATACCAAGAAATCATCTAGGCTGGGCATGGTAGTGCAAATCTGTAATTCCACCACTCAGTAGGCTGAGACAGGATCACTGTGAACTCAAGGCCGGCCTGAACTACATAGTGGGACCCTACCTAAAAAAAAAAAAAATCTAAAATCAACTGTCTTAAATCTGTTCCTGGTAGTCAGATGCTGAGCACATCTGTTCAGTTTAAGAGTATTTTATGATTTGTGCTATTATAAACTATTTCTAAGCAGAGGAAACTAAGAATTGCTATAAGCATATGAGGTGGATATGTTCACTAGGTGGACAGTATTTACCATTGCATAGCATACATACAAGTATCTCAAAACATGATGCTGTGTAACTTAAGTACATGATTTTGTCAATTATACACAACAGAAGAAAAGAAATTCTTTCTAGAGGACTAAAACATGATATACCTCTGACTTAGCACTCCTTCCATTCTGGAGAACTTTTTTGATAACTGCTTTCATCATAGAATGATCTAAAGTAAAATGAAAGTTGAAATTATAGTAACTGTATTCCAGTGAGTGGATACCTATTTAAAATGAGCCAACTAATTATTTTCTCCATAAAATATTATGCCCACATTATTTAATTATACATTTATTTTCCCTGGTGAGTATTCTAACTTCTTTCCTCAAAAACGAGATGAAACGTTTGTTATTCTGCATATTACCTCCAGTGGCCACTACTTCGGCGGCAGCAGAGATCAAATATAAAGTGGCTTTGGACATCTAATACAGTCAAATAAAGGTCATGATAAATCCTCCAAGTGCCTCCTCTCCCAGCCACCTTTTCCCAGCAAATGGCACAGCCCCATTGTGTATAAACAAATCCAGGACGTTTTTAGAATTCCTCTTTCCTTCATATCCATTCCAAATGGACTGCACAATCTTCCTGTGTCCTCTTTTGAGCCACTTTTCACCATGTCCCATCTTCCATCTTCTGCCTAGCCGCAGCACCATTTGCTTGCCTTGCGTGATGGGCTCCTCTCTGGTCTCTCAGTTTCCCTAATACCCTTGCCTAGAGGCCCATTCTCCACTCTAGGGTCATCTGATGGAAACAACACCCAGATCATCTTTTCTATGGCTCACAGCACAGTGCAATTCCCTAGGCTGGCCTTCAGAACCATACAGTACCAGACCCTTGGCTAGTTGTTGGACCTTGTACTAGGTTCTCCCTCCCTTGGGGTCAACTGTGTTGGGCTCCCCAAGTTCCCTTAAACACTCCACCCGCCCTGCCACATGCATGTGCCTACGTGTGCACTGTTGCCTTGTCCTGGAAAGTACTTTCCCCAGAACTTTCATGATTTGATCCTCTCCTCACTGAGGTCTCTTGCTTAAATGTCACTTCTTCCAGTGAAAACGTTTCCAACAATCCTGTCTAATACAGTCTCACCTGTCTCATCTGTCTTACCCTAGGGTACTTTGCACTTTTCACTACTTAAAGTCACATTACTTACCGTTTACTCATTTACATTTGAATTTCCTCAGGAGCATGTAAGCTTCATGGGCAAGACTGTCTAGTTAGCTCATTACCACCTGTACTGCGGCCTGAACTAGAGCTTGGCATACAGACGTATTCAAAATGTACTTGTCAAATGAGCAAATGAGTAAAATGCTTTTCCAAAAATTCAGAGCTTTCACAAAAAAGGAAATAATGTTCTTTCTTAGTTGAAATATTCATTATCAGAAATTACCTCTATTCAGAGTAGCAGCCAAGAAAAAGTTACAACTTATTTTAATCAATAAAAGTTACCTGCTAAAAACATAAAGAATTACAAAATGAGAAAATGAGGAAAGTAAATATATAAAGGTTAGAAAATTGTTAATACTTGAACAAATTTTTTTTGTTCTGCTACTTGTTAATCAGTGAAAAACAAGTGGTTACATACCAACGAGTGGATTTTTCCTTATATCGAGAACCACCAGAGTCCTGTTGGTCTCCAAAGCCTCTAGTAAAGCCTGGGCTCCGTCATTGGTGAGGCCGCACTGCTGCAGGTCAAGTGCTTTTGATGAAAGATAGTGAGTCACTTGCCAACTCTAAACAGATTTAACAATATACAGAGAACTCTCATTCATGCCTGGGAGATTCTTGAGCAAGACTAATGATGGCGAACTTTTAATCTTCAGTGTTGAAAACAAGCAGAATTCCATGCACAAACACACAATCTGGAGGACAAAAGCCCCCAACTCTGTTTCTTGAATGTGCTATGAATATTTTCCCTTTAGCACCAATAAACCACCTAATATATCTTACAATCAGGGTACACAAATAACTACACAATCTATGAGAAAAAACAATTACAGAATGACCGTCAGCTTACAAATAGTAAAGATGTTAGGGGCAACACAAAAGCCACAGGCAAATAAATACTTAATGGAGCTCAGAAATTATAATATATGTTATTTATATAATATATAACTATATATTAATTATACTATAAATTATAATATATTCCTTGAGCATTAGAATTTCATTTCAAATAAATCTCAAAAATATATTTAAAAGGAATGTAACAGCTGTCAGTTTCAAGATAAAAATGACAAAAAAGTTTAAGGAGACAAAAAGAATTTATTAAATGAAAGCTGGGTGTGCCGGAACACCTGTTATCCCAGCCACTCAAGAGGCTGAGGCAGGAGGTCTGCAATTTTGAGGCAGCCTAGATAACTCTGCAATACCCAGTCTCAAAAATAAAGATAAATAAAAGCTGGTGATCCAGTTCAGTGGTGGAATGGCCCCAGACTGAATCCAAGATTCACAAAAGCCAACCAACCAAGCAACCAAATCCTCCCCCCCCAAAATGTGACCTATCCAAAAGAACAATGATCCACAATTCTCTCACTAAAAGGTAAAGAACAGAATATTCATGAATACTAAGGTTGAACTACTCATTTAAATCCAAAAGAATCATTACAAAAGCATAGGTATAAAGATGTTTCCCTCAGAAGTAAACATCAGAGCTTTTTAGTAAAACATACTATCAAGGATAAAGAAGTCATTCATAACCCATATTGTGTAATGCATGTGTGTATTCCCTAAATATTTACATAATGAAACCTAGTCCCCAGTGTGTGCGTATATATGTGTGCACGTGCATGTGTCTGCCTGTCTCTTTCTTGGTCATATTAGATAAAAACCAGGAAGAGTATCGGCACCAGACACCAGATTTGACAGTGCCTTCATCTTGGACTTCCCAGGCTCTAGTGAGAAATAAATGCCTCTTGTTTAAGCACCCAATCTCTAGCATTATTCTTTGATAGTGCTTTAATAGCCCACAACAAACTTGCTAAGACACCTTGTGACACACAGAAATAGAATGTAATTATTTAACCAGCCAAATGATAAAAAGAGCCAACAATTCTCACTAGCCAATAATTCTCATTAAAAAATGACAAACTGCAACAATGAAATGTGTCTATCAATTATGCCAAAATCATCTAACAAAAGGCTTTAAATGTTCCTACTTTGCCTCTCTATTTGCAGTGCTAGAGATCAAACTCATGGGCTTGCATATCCTCAGCCCTAAAATATGCACACTCTTAATCCAGCAACCCACCTAAGAATATACCCAAAAGAACTAATCAGAATTATGAACAGGATGTGTAGCAAAGTCCTGTTTGTAACAGTAAAAGACTAGAAGTAGCTATGGATCTAAAGGGGATGAATACCCTAAATTTACTAAGGTACAGTAACATAATGGAACACTGAATAGTTAATATTCTGTGGCAGACTGGTTTATTGATTTAACATGCTCATGACATAGTCTGTGAATGAAGTTACGGAATTTGAATGGCGGCGGGAGTGTTTCCTACATTTCTAAAGTTTAAAGATTTCTATGGTAGTAGGGATGGACCAAGGGCCTCTTGTACGCTAGACAAGCACTCTTTACCGAGCTACCCCCTCAGCGCTATATTTTATTTTGAGATAGTCTCCTTAAACAGCCCAGGCTATTCCTGTACTTGTGCTCCTCCTGCCTCAGCCATGCAAGTAGCTTCCTATAGAAGTACACTCCTAAGTACAGAAACATACACACACAAGTTGTCGACTTTATTGTAAAGTCATTTATAATAGGGGGAAGGAACCAACTGTCTAAACATCACACAGCTGAGAATTAAACTACTATGCATCAATATAATGGTGTGCTATATCCTCATTAAGCATATATCATTAAGCCAAAAAAGAAGATAAAAAAAACAGTAAATACACAATAATCCTAATTTTGAAATTTTTAAGAGTACAACTGTATCTACAAAAAGAAAATAAAAATTGTGGTGTGCCAAAATAGAAATGATCTAAATATTTTGATTACAGGCAATACTGCCTGCTTGTTTACTTTGTATTTTCTATGAAGAATGTATGTAACTTTCATAAAACTTTAAAACTATAATAAAGGTTAGGGAAGAAAGGCTTCAAAAAATATTCTCATTACAATGTTGGTGCCAAGAGCTAAATATATGTAATATTCTAAATTTTACCATTTTCAGCCTTAGGAGTGCATTTACCTTACCTCTAAGCCACAAATCCTCATTGAGAGAGTCCGCAAAAGCGCGTGCACCCACGTCTCCAACGAGCGTGTTGCAGTTCAGTGTGATGCGCCTCAAGCCAGCCATGCAGTCGAGATCAGGCCTCCTATAGCGAAGGCTCTCGGCCCAGGTCTCCTCGTGCCTTCTCATCGTCTGGTACTTCAGAGGCAGCGGCAAGACATTAAGATAGTTGAGTAAGACAGCAAGAACATACACAAAAACTAAACATGGCTGATTCTGTCAGTGCTTTCTTTACTTAGCCCCTCCCCCACACACACTTAAATAGAAGATTCAGGTTTAGTCCAGTGATCCACATTCTAGTTCAGATTAGTTGTACGACTCTAGCCACTGGATGATCTGTTGTGAGTTAGTTAGGTAAACTGATAACTCAAGCAATTTTTAATTATTAAGAATTTAATTGTCCTTATCTGCCACGTTTAAAGAACTACTAGTTTTTAATTCTATCACTGCCGAACATCTAAATTCTGTCATTTTGTTGTCTAGCAGAAACAATATACACCATATAAATGATACACCAATAAATACAGTCTTTTTGTTCCTCCGACCTAAAGGACTTCACATGCTTTCTCTAGGGCATGCACACCAACTTTAGAGGGCTAGAGACAAACAAGACCACTCTGACATTTGGACACTAATGGTTTGATTTTTAACCACAGGTATGTCTTAGAGACATTGTAAGTAAACTGTACTCAGAAAGTTTTGGTAGGCATACTGACTAAATTTTTTTCTTTTCTTTTTTTATAGTGTTAGGTAGCTAACTCATGGCCTTGTGCATACTGGGCATCTGTGTTACCACTCAGCTACATCTCCAACCCTAAATACTGATTTTAAGAGAAAAAAAAAATATTAGATTCTTAAAAAACAACACTCAAATCTCCTGTGACAGTCTGAAAGGGAAATTATTAAGCATATTTTTTACTAAGAATAACTACATAAAAGCAACAACAGGAAGTTAACAGTAAACAGTGCCTATTATATGCTGGGCACTCTTTTAGACAAGGCAGCTTATCTAACCCTCAGAATGACGGGTGGAGTATGTTTTCTACATACATATTTTATAGAGGTTAAAGGTGGTCATAAGGTGTTACACAGGAGAGCTAGGAGTTCAGCCTATATCATCAACAGCATAATCCATGCTTTCGAACAGTATCTACTTAAGGATGAGAGGATTTGTTTTGTAAAGGCCCAAAAGTAAACATTCAAGCTTTGTGGGTGAGACAGCTTCTTTCACAAGTACTCAAATTTCCTATATGGGGGTAAAAGTAACCATAGTTATCATGTAAATAATCAACCGTCTTTTTTTTTTTTTTTTTTTTAAGGAAGGATCTACAGGCTGTTAAGGGTCTCACTACTAGATCAGACTCGTAGTGATCCACCTGTTTATAGCCTCCCAAGAGCTGTGATTACAGGCATGCGCCACCACACTAGTCTCATTTGCCAACTCAGTGCGCTCTGGGGGTGGGGCTGGCATGGCAGGTCCAGGGATTGAACCCCCAGTCCCTATGCCTGCTTGCAGGCACTTTAATCTGCTGAGCTATTTAGCTGGCCAATCAACCATGTTTCAAAACAACTTCATTTACAAAAATAGGTCACCAGCTATATTTAGCCCACAAACTAGTTTGTCTACCTCTGATATATACAAACTATTAAAAAAAGCTTCAGATCAGATTAAGTGATTTTAGGCCTAAATATAGTAATTATAAAAACTACAAGTTGTGAAAAGGTTAGCATAGTGATTTTTATTTGATTATACATTATAGCAGTTAAAAAGGATGAGTCACGTAGGTAATCTGAAGAATGTAATACATGTTTTAGTATGTATTACATACTAAATACACAATAACTTTCAATAAAAACACACAGAAGTATCAGTTGAACTGGCTTGGTTGCCAGCTGATGTGTTTGGAAGGAGAATGGCAGGAGGACTCTTATCCACTGGTGAGGATTATCTATTAATGAGTTCAGAGCTTCTGAGGGATGAACCCCTCAGGTTCATAGTTGAGTGGAATTGGGGGATGTGGGGACTGATGGGAACAAGATATTGAGGGTATGGCTTTGAAAGGCCTATTCTGTCTGTTCCCACCCCACTCTCATTCTTTTGTTTCTTGGCCACCAGAAGTGAGCAGCTTCCTCTATCCACTTCCACCAACCTGTTTTGCTCTTCCTCTGGTTCAAAGTAACAAAACCAGCAGACAATGGACTAAAACTAGCAGCCAAAATACTCTACCTCCTTCAAGTTGTTATTCTCAGGTATTCTGTCACAGGACAGAAAGCTAACAAGGAACAATGGTAATGAGAGTAGGGCAATGCTGTGAATGTACTTGATTATGTGCTTCAGCACCCTTTGGAACTAGCTTGCAAGAAGCCCCCAAACGCTATAAGCAGAGCTTAACAGACAATTCTAGTGTGGGTTGCAACAAGCAGATTGCCACCAGGAATGGACAGTAAAGGCTGGGCTCATATAGGGCTTTGCACAGAATGAGGGCCCTATTGCGAAGTGGGCTACAACATTCTGGCAGAGAACTTGTTTACCTTTTGTTTATACATGGACACCTTGTGTGAGAATAAGCTTCTTTTTTTTTTTGGCAAAACCAGGGATTGAACTCAGGCCCTTGTGCTTGCCAGGCAAGCGCTTATTCTACTGAGCTATCTCCCAAACCCTTTGTTACAGAATAAATTGAAGGTTGTGGTCTAGTTAATCTGGCAGAAGAAATTTCAAGGCAATGTAAGATTCAGACCACAGCATGGGTACTGATGGATGCTTTAACTAGACTTAATGTGACAATCATAAGCAAAAGCAGAACAGAAAGATGTGGAAAACTTGCAGTTTAGCTAGAAATGCATATGATGATGCTGAAGAGATTAGTGACATTAAAATAAGCTAAATACTATACATGGAACAAAAGGAAATATACCTGGAAGGACTCTCAGGAGTTAGCAGAAGAGTGCTGGGGTACTTGCTTGCACAGAACCACCTAGAGGTTGTTTCCCAGGATTTATTTACTATGCTGAGCCATCCTGGTACTCAGAAGCCACTGCAGCTATGATACAAGGAGTCCCAGCTACTGCTTGAGCTTGTAGAGGAGTTATAAGGTAATGGAGCTTCCACAGAAATTTAAAAGGAAGGCTTGAGAAGTCAGGCAATGTGTAGCAGTGTTGGTGTCCCTACAGTAGCCCTGGAAAGAGTGCTGTGTGAAGCTGTGATAGTGAAGCAGAAACTCCAACAGAGGCCCTAGGAAGCTGCTGACACTAGTAATGTACACCATCAGCCAAGCCAAGCTACAGGCAGGAAGCAACACGAGTCTAAGAAAGGCTATGTGGGCTGCAACCAGCAAAGACACAGAGACAGAGAGCTGGCCCAGCCTGCTGGAATGCCCAGCACACTACTATGTGCTCTGGATGCTGAAGTTGGATGCAACCTGGAATGGCTATATGTACCCTGTGCCTGTCCCACTGCCAAGTGTTAGAAGTATATAACCAGCTTTCTGAATTCTACAGGGGTACATAGCTAAGAAGACTTTAGACTTGGACTTTACAGAAATCCTGGCACGGTTAGGATATGGGGAAACCTTAGAGATGGACTAAATGCATTCTGTGTGAGATCGTCATCATCATGCCTTCAGATGCCTGGGTGGAATGTTATGGTTTGGACCTAAAATGTTCCCCAAAATGTTTAAGTGTTCAGAGGTTAAGACTCTGGGAAGAAGACTGGATAATGATAGCTCTAATTTTATCAGTGGATTAATCCATTAATGGATTTGTAATTGGATGATGTTACTGGAGGGTACTAGAAACGTAGGGGACACAGCCTAGTTGAATGAACTAGGTCATGGTGACATGACCTTGGCAACTACATCTGGTACTCATCCCTTCTACTATTTTCCCCTTTCTACTTCCTGCATGCCATGAATCAAGTGACCTCCTCTACCAGACACTCCCACCATGAATTTGGCCTTTTCTCAGGCCCAAAGCAATGGAGCCCACTGACCACGCACTGAAACCATAAATAAAAATCATTTTATTATAAGGACAGAAAGCTAATACAATGCATTATTCTTTAACATATTCACAATGGGCTGTAATTTCTATTTTCTGCTGCTGAGCAGCCTGAACGACCAGTGGTACATGCATGACAGACCCACTGGGCGGCTCTTTAAAATATTTTTAGTAAAAAGACTGATAAAAGTGATTAGATCCATTTGCATTACCAGTGGCTCAAGCCTACTCTCAAAAGGTTTACCTTGAACTAAATGAGTGAACCCCAAACAGTAGTCACATTTCTTTAGTGAAACTAAAATTGCAAGTACTACATGAATCAAAGACATAATAAAAGGCATCTCACATGAAAACATTAATGTGCTTCCATTACAGTAATCATTTCTCACAACTGTGAACACAGAAATCACCTTTAAGATCTTGGCTATGTGATCTGCTCCCTGCCATGTCAGATTACACTCCGTGAAGTTGACTGTCTTAAGAGTGACAGAATTCTTTATTCCTTGACAAATAACTAAAAAGAAAAAAAACACAGATACAACATGATGAAAAACTTAATCTAGCCAATCTTGGTTATCCACTTGTATCTACTCTAGTTAACTATTGTATTTTTAACTTCTCAAGCAATTGGTGTACTCTAAAATATGGCAGTAAAAAAGTGCTATTTCAGTTTACAATAGTTAATTCTATTTAGAGGTTAAAATTGAACACTTAAAATACTGCAAATTTATTCTCTTCCCATAGTAAAATATTTGGAGACATTTGAAAATGAAAAACCTAAAGAGCATAACTTTCTTCTCATTTTCAAAGACAGACCTGGATCTTAAAGATCAATAGTTTAAGTGTTCGCTATAAACTTAGAATTATATCAGATCCTATACTGCTTTATTAGAACAAATACGTATTCTAAGCAATAGAAGATAGAGGACCTCAAACTCTGTTAAGTAAAATGCAGGCTTCCTTATTCCTCCAGACAAGGATTCTGTACGATGGGCACATGTCAATTACTCAGGACCCCAATCAGTCACCCCGTCACTACTACGACTGTCTCATCAGAGTCTGCTGGACTTTTATATGCACCTATCATACTCTACATATATTTTCTAACTTAGCACATACCACAGTGCATTAGAAGTATACTACTCATACTTATTTAAATATGATTTTTTTCCTCTTTACATGTTGCTATCGCCTATCCCATAAACATTTCACCTCAGAAAGCGAGCACATGCAAAAAACAAGAGAATATCAAACAGTACATATTTGTGTGATATGTGGCTTAACATAACCTGAAATAAAGCTAAATCAGAGTATTCAGTATGATCAGCTTTCATGAAAACTGAGAATGGACCACAGGAAGCAGCCCAGCTACAGGCTGAAGGCAGGAAAAGACAGTGATTAACGTGGCACATAGGCAAATATGAGACCGGTCTGATGGGATGAATTAATAAGTAGGATTTAAACTCACTTTCTAAACCTCCATCTCCAATTGGGCAATTCGCAAGAGACAGGTGCACCAAAGAAGTCGATTTATTCAATCCCTTAATAGAAGAAAACAGTTAAAAATTTGTTGAATGTTCCCCTCCAAAATAATGCAAAATGTTTGCAGGCCACATAGAAGAAGGCTTACCTTTGTTAAAACAGTTAAATCTCTCTCTCTTAGAAGCAGTCCATTTAGCTCCAGGTTCCTCAGCATGTTTGATGTACTTAAACAGCCTTTAAGAGCTTTACATAACTGGAAGGTCACATCTTTAGATCTTATCGCAGGAACACGACTTCTACAAACCTTATTTATATTAGGACCTAAAGCAGTTATTGTAAGATTAGTGATCTCAACTTCATTTTTATCATTGAAAAGTATCTGCTCAGAGATAAGGCATAGAAATGATCCAGGTCCTCAAAGTCCTTCTAAGGACAAATGATAACTCAAACCCAAATAGCACAGGGAAACACAAACCATGTACAGGGGTTCTTACAGAGGCAAACAAGTTGTACCCAAGGCATCGCTTCAAGAGAACCAGGAAGCTGAACCTAGAAGGATAAAAATGAGGCCAGAGGGTGAGTGATGTGCCCACTTGTGACTGTGTGAAAGCACCCCTGCCTGACATCTGCCAGCACCTGAAGCACTGCAAGTGAGACAACAGCACCCCACATGTGTAGAGAACAGAAAATGGAGAGGAGGATGCTGCAGAAAGCCTGGCAGAGAGGAGGCTCTAATCTGTCAAGTGATGAAGACTAGGGCTACTACTAGCACAGGGAGTAACCCTGGAAGGTTAGAAAAAACATGCTCTAAAAAAAGTATCTGCCTCAGAAAGATCAGGATAAAACACCCTCTCCTCTGAGCTAATTAGCCCCACAAGGACCGGCAACAAACTAACACACAGCTCAGATTTCAGTGTTTCCATGAAGAGCACAGGGGGTACTTTGTGGGTGAGTTACTAGAAGCATTGCTGTAAGTAAACTGTTCTCCTTTTCTTCATAGCACTGGGAATGGGACTGAGGGCCTTCACACTCAACTACATCCTCCAGCCCTTTTTAATTTATTTTTTTTTAATTTTAAAGAGGAAAAAAATTGCAAAATAGGAGTACCAATGGTTAATGCATTACATATTGTTCTTCAAATTAGCTACTCAACATACAAGATATAGGAATTTAATTGTCAAGAAAATATTAGCACAAATCTTTCTTTTCAATAAACTAAGAAAAATTAGTAATATAACAATCTTAACTATAAACTTTTCCCTTCCTTTTCTCCTTTGCCCCAATCCCAGTTTCTCTTTTCTTTTGAACAGTTTCCTCTGGTTTTACACCATCTATTGTACGGTTTGGATCTTATTTACTCTTTCAGCTTCTCACACCAGGGAGACAATATAATGTGAGTCTGATTTATTTCCCTTATGCATATGGTCTCGGGTTGCATCCATTTACCTTTAAAAACCTTCAGTTTATCCTTTTTTATAGCTTACTACTTCACTGTACAAAAAGACCGTATCTTTTTTTAACTACTGGTTGATGAGCATTTAGGCTGTTTCAAAGATTTAGCTATTATAAATTGTGTTGCTATAAACTTGGATGCACATATATAGCTGCAGCACATTTTAAATTTTTTGTACCAGGAACTGAATTCAGGACCTGGTGCTTACAGGGGATGTTTTTAATTCTTCTGGGAGATACTCAGAAGAGGAACAGCTGGGACAAATGGGACCTCCAATCCTTGTTTTTTGAGGAATCTTCACACCCATTTCCAGTGGTTGCACCAGGCTACACTCCCACCAACAGTGAAGGTCTCCTTTTCCCCCACAGCTCCTCTAGCATTTGTTATTGGTTGATTTCTTGATAATATCCATTATTTCTGGGGTGACCGAATTTTATTTTCTATTTATTTATTTTTTTAAATGTATTTGGTATAGGGTCTCACTATGCAGCTCGGACTCGATTCTCCTGCTTTCAGCCTTCCAAGCACTGGGATTGTAGGCATGCGATACCACACCCAGACTCTGGCTCAGTCCGCCCTGGGGACAGGGCTGGTGTGGCATGTGGTGCTGGGAACTGAACCATGATTGCTGAAATTGCCTAAGCAGGCACTTTAGACCACTGAGCTATCTCATAGGCCCCGATAGAATTTTAATTTGTGCCTCTAGAATGACCAATGATATGGAACATTTTCCATATTTTTACTGTTTACACTTTATCCGAGAAGTATGTATTCATCTCAAATGCCCATTTTTGGATTGGGCCTTTAAATTTTGGAGGTTTGCTTTTTTTGAGTTCTTTATTCCCTGCCCTTTTTAAGTATTCCATTTTATGAGTCTCTGGTTCCCAGATTGGGCTTGAATTTGAAATCCTCTTGCCTCAGCCTCCCAGAGTGCTGACACTACAGGTGTGTACCACAACCACACCTGCCTAAGTGTAATTTTTCACTTTAGAAAGGATCACTTGAGGTCGAGTTCAATCCCTGGTACTGAAAAAAAAGGGGAAGGATCACTCAAACTGAAATAAGCAGATGAAAAGGAACAGGGGGCAGCAAACCCAATGAGGCACTTCTGTAGGCAAAACACATTTAAAGATGAACAAGTGATGTCTCGGAAGGTTTAATCTGTACCCTATCCCTGCTGGATGCAAGACATAAAGAAGACTCAGCAAAGAAAATGGTCTGTAACTCGCTTTCCTTATATTCAATGGAAAATAACAGTCAAGGTAAGTACACTTCCCTTGAGTCTGAGTTTATTCTCACCTTTCATTTATTTTGATTCTGTTACAACTCAGATTAAGTCCAGTGCCTTCAGGGGCGCAGAATAAATCTGACATCCGAGGAGAGGCAGAGGCTGCTGTTACTTCTCTTCAGCAGGGATGTGCTGAGCTATCCCTGCAGAGGAGGTCATAGATGGTCATGACCTCTGAGTCTAGAAAGGGCTGAGGCCTTAGAATGAGAAGTCAGGTTTTCAAGCAAATAGACAACTACCTCCTCCCCTAGATCATCCAGCCTCCCTTTCAGCTGGCTACTTTTTCTCACGATACAAACACATTTAATTCCATTATTTTTTAAAAAAAATCTTGCAAGAGTGTAATTCTCAGTGTTCAGCCTTCTCTCCCCACTTCACAGTCAGGCTCTGCCATGCTTCAACGTGCATGCTGCTCCAACGTGCATGCTGACCTAGCAGAGACACATAGAGATGGCACTGCAAAAGACCCTCTCACTACTCAACTCCTGCTGTGCTGTCTCATGGAAAGAAGCCATCTGCAAGTGCCACCCAAGCCTGTGGCCCTCCTCTGCTAACTGGTCACCAGGCCCCCTTCTTACTCTTCAGCATCTGGACTCTAACCCTTCTCCATACTTCAACTTGGAAGGGCCATCCAAAAAGCTCAGTGAATTAAAGCACCTGCAAGCAGGTGCAGAGGCCAGGTGCACTGAGTTGGCGATTGAGACTGGGCGCTGTGGCGCGTGCCTGTAATCCCAGCTCTTGGGAGGCTATAAACAGGTGGATCACCACAAGTCCATCCAATCTAGTAGTGAGACCCTGCACACCCTGTAGACCTGCCCTAAAAAAAAAAAAAAAAATTGCTGGGGAGCTAGCTCAGTGGTATAAGCATTTGGCAGTTAAGCGCAAGGTCCTGAGTTTGATCCCTGATACTGGAAAAGAAAAAAATCAAGATACCATACTTCAACTTGGGCAGATTACTATTTACCTTCCTTCCACTTAGAATTAGCCTTCTATATGTAGGTCACTATGAACTCCTACAGGGAGGGTCCATCTCAATGGCTTCAGTGGCTCCCCTTGCCAAACATCAAACTCCTTGACACCCTGTTTGCTTGCTCCCAACAAGTTTCTAGCCTGTACTCTCCTTAAACCTTAATTTTCAGTCCCGATCAGTCTGCCATTCTCCAAGACTTCTTCTGCTCAGTGTTCATCCTTTCATCCTACTGGCCTTCGTACATCCTTCAAAGGACAGCACGTCCTCCAAGCAGCCTTTCCTAAGCCTCCTCTTTAGTTCTGTGCTTTCCAGCAGCCTGGCTTGCTTCCTCCACAGTAGAGGAAGAAGTCTGTTTGCTTGCTGCTTCCCTCAGGCAGCAGGGGGGCAAACTGTCTCCATGTAGAGCCAGCATGCTTGACACAACCTGCTTTAATCCCCAGAACCCAACTGAGTTGTTCTAAGGTCTTTGTATAGGAGAGAACTGTAGGTCAACAAGTAACTTGCTCTAGATTACAGAGGCTGAGCTTCAGCACTGAGACCAGAGGCTGCCTCCAGTACCTGTGTGATTTCCTGAGATGATACTCCTTTAAAAAAATTATCAGAGATTATCATACATTTAACAGGATTTACAAATATAAAAAGCACAATAAGAATTAACTATACAAGATATTTAAAAACGTTATGCCTGAATGGTACAAGATGGAATGCCTTTTGTCGCATATATATTTTTTTCTTTTTACTGTCAACTTTTGTGCATTAAGCCTGAAATCCAGAGTGGAAGAGTAGATTCTAAACTTAAGATTTAAATATTTATTTATTTATTTATTTATTTAGTGTGTGGCCAGCTCAGCCCACCAGGGGGCAGGGCTGGCTGGCATGTGGTGCTGGGGGATTGAACCGAGGTCCCTGTGCTTTGCTTGAGCTTAGTTTGTTCTAAGTAGGTGCTTTAGACCACTGAGCCATCTCACCAGCCCTAAACTTAAGATTTAAAAAGAAAAGAGAAACTGGGAGCAACAGCACTAAGAAGTGAAATCAGGTATCTTAGCAGGTAATTGTATTTAATACAATGCCCCAAGGAGCAGAGTGGGCATAATGACCTTGTGATACAGCAGGAAGTCTCAGGGTCAAGGCTGCTCCAAGTACAGCCTAAGAAGTGGCAACTACAGGGACAGGTGTGCCAGCCTTCAAACAGATCCAGGACACCGCTTTGGGAAAGCTAGGTCTCCACTCAGCTTACATGTTACTTTTCACATCCACCTCTAACAAAATCTTTTAGGGTCATTTGATGGCTACTAATGAAAAACTGAGTTTCTCTCAGTTTCCCTAAGATGTTCCGAATGTGGTGCTAATTGTTAGAAAGAATAACACCATTCTGGCACATATTGTGATTGTTAGGGTTTGTCTCTTCTGGTCCCCGCCCCCCAAAGCCTCATGCAGTCATGGGGGTTGGGGATTTCTACCGTTTGTGATTAATTCACAATCTAATGCTGAGATTGTGGGTGTGAGTGTTACACCTGCCCTGGGGCGGACAGACTGAATGCAATAAAGGGAGACAACCTCCACAAACTGTGAACTAAATAAAATCTTCCCTTTCTTAATTTTGGGTGTCAGGTATTTTGTCCCAGCAATGACAGAAAATTAACGTTGACAGTAATTTACCTGTTTTCCAAATAATCAAGAGGGTTTGGTACCCAACTACATTACCGTACCTTCATAAATAGCACACGTTACTAAAACGGCTTACAAAATTTCTTGAAACATTTCTGAAAATAAAAGAGGCTGCTATTATTAATTTCCTACTCCTTCACTTTCACACCAGAAAAGTCATTCGATAAGATACATTAACATATGTCCAATGTTTATTCCTTTCAAGGTAGAAAAGTCAGTATTTAATTGATGACAAAAATGATTTCTCGTGTTTTTTAGACACAATTTTTTTGTTCAAATAAGTCGTAAATGTTTTCCTATGCCCATGAATGGCTCCCACACTCCCAAGCGCACTAAAGATCCCTGACTAAGAGAAGCCCTGCAACCACCACACAGCGTGGCTCGGGTTCTTAGGGCCTCGTTCAGGGCAAGAACACCAAATCCTAGACACCTCAGTGGCCGTCCTGGGTCACCCAGCTGGTGAGTGAGCGTCCCAGGTCGCACGTCCCGGGCACCACACAGCACCGCCAGGCTCCGGTTCTAGGGCCCGGGCCAAGAACCCGCTGCGCGCCCCGCCCCGAGGACACGGAGGCGGGAACCACGAACCTGTCTCCCCGAGCCACGGCTGGAAGCAGCTCCTGATGGAGATGAGCGGCAGGTCCTTGTTGATCTTGAGGGTGCTCAGCAGCGGCGCCCAGTCCACCACGCGGAGGCGGTCGGCGTTGAAGTCCAGCACGCCCTCCCGCAGGCAGGCGCGCACGGCCGGCAGCGGCACGGAGTCCTGCAGCGCGCACAGGTACTCGTAGTGCGAGAAGAAGTCGGCCGCGCAGCGGCGGCGCAGCTGCACCGAGTCGATCATAGCGGGGCGAGGAGGGCGGCCTCGAGGGCGGCGGCGCCGCGCCCGCCAGGGGCCCGGGGTCCGCCCGCGTCTGCGGCGCCCAAGCCAGCGACTGCAGCCCACACCTTGCGCAGGAGCGGCGAGCGCACACTAGGCCGCCCCGTCGACGCCGCGCACTCGCGCCGGATCCCGCCCCGCGGCCCCAGCCGTTGGCGCCCGCCTCATCGCGCTCTGCTCGGCGGGTTACCGTTCAAGCCGGCGGCGGGATCCGACGAGGGCGGTGCGCGCAGACGTCAGCACGCTGTGCGTCAGCACGCTGGCCACGCCTCCCGGGGAGGAGCGGAGATGCGGGGCGGGGCGGGGCCGAGGGCGGGGCCGAGGGGCGGGGTGGAGTCGGACGCGCAGGCGGATAACCAAGACCGTGTGAGATGAAACTACGGTAAACTGTCAGAGCAAACCGAAAATACCCTATGAAGTCGTCGAGTGAATCCTTAGGAAGTACTTAATTCCTGAGACTCGATTATCCTCTTCCTTAGTGAAAAACTTAGTACATAGAAACAGACCCTAATCTATTTGTAAAATAAGGGGCTTCAATTTCCCCCCTCCCGCAGGTAACAGTAGAATTTCACTTACCTTTATCTTCAAGCAATAATGCTTTTAATATTAGTTGTACGAGTTGCATGTAGTATGTAAATGTGTGCTTGGGGTGGCTGTCAAAGCACACCATCTGGTAATTTTTAGCAGAACATCGCTTCAAATTGCGATACAGTCAGTAGGGCGGGCCAGATAGCTCAGCGGACTAAAGCGCCTGCTTAGGCAAAGAGTAGGGACTGGGGTTCGATGCCTGGTAAGCCTATAATCCCAGCGTTTGCGAGGCTGAAAACAGGAAGATCACTACAAATCCAATCTATGTAGTGAGACCCTGTAGACCCTGCCCTAAATACACTTGAAAAAAGAAAGAAACTATACAATACTGATAGTTATTGAAAACGAATTTAGAAGACTCCAACCAGCAGAAGGGGAATTCAGACTTAACATGCTAGGTGTATCAATTGCATTGTTATGTATTGGTGCCCTTGATAGTTAGCTCTAATAAATATTACTTTCTGTGTCCTACTTTCTGTGTGCATTATTTTATGCATAGGTTAATCCTAAAATAATTCACTTTCCTAACATCTCTACAAAGAATGCGATATTGTATGTAAGTAGCATATAGCTCAGTAAATGTAAAGCCCTGAGAATAAGCCTCAGAACCTGTTGTTTGTACGCAGTCTCTAGATTACTGTAATAATAGTCCTCCCATCCATTCCCTGCATTCTAGATACTCCAGTCTCCTTCTTTGCTTGGAGGAAGGGTTGAGGTAGGTGCTCACTGTACAGCTAACGCTGGCTTTGAACTCACAACAATCCTCTTGCCTCAGCCTTTGGAGTGCTGGGATTGCAGGAATGGGGCAGCAAGCAAAGCAAGGGTATCCCCAATCTCCTACCAATGCAAACATGCATACTCAAAGGTCCACTCCTCTAAAATTCCATGATATCGCTGTTTAACAATGGCTTTTTCCATGCAACAGACTCAAGTTAAAAGTAGGTAGTAAGCCCTTTTTTCCCTTTCTGGGTTCGGTTCCCCCCTTTTTTCCCCTTTTCCCCCTCTCCTTCCCAAGCCCCTTTCCCTTCCCCCCATCCGGTCCCCCTGCTCCCCAGCTTGGGCCCCGGGGAACCCCCGCCGAGAAGAGCCCGCCCCCTGAAGCGCGCCGCCGCCGGCCGTCGGGGCCGAGCCGCAGCCGAGCGGCCGTGGGCCCAGGCGGCAGGCGGAGACGCGGCGCCCTCCCCGCTGCGGTCCGCGTGAGGTGAATTGCTAGAGGCTACCCATTATCCTTCCTGAGGTGTCTCTCCAAGTTATGCTTGATAAATAGAATTTATACTTCATCTGGATGGATGAGGCAGTACATCTCAGCTAGAGGTCAGTACCAGGAATTGAATTCAGGACCCTGTGCTTGCCAGACTTGTTTCTTATATGTGATGTCATTCCAGTACTGGACTCATGGAGGCTGAACATTTATTCAGTTCATAACTGTACAGAAACTACCCAAGACTAGAAGAAAAGAACTAGTGCAAAGGATTGGTTGGAGCAACTCATGAAGTACAGAATCACTTGTATTGTGTTTTTGCTTGCCAGAATAGAAACACTGGGCTGGTGAGATGGCTCAGTGATCTAAAGCACCTACTTAGAACAAGCTTAGCAAAGCACAGGGACCGCG